TTAATTGTTATGTTGTTTCACCATGCTTTTTGTATTTTTTTTTTTACTTTTATTCTCTCGTTTGTTTTGTGTCCTTTAAGCGTCCTAGACGCAAATAAATACTTTTGCTTGTTTGTTTGTTTGCCTACACTACCTATCCTTACCATGTATTAATTACGCATAATATAATTACGCGGGTATTAACAAGCAGACTGACTTCCTACCTACAAAAGACTAACTAGCTACCCTTCCCTACCTACCCTTTGAGGAGGGATGGGGGAGGGGTAAACTGGACCTCCGGCTACCTCACTCACACGGCGAAACACAACGCTGTGGTTGTTTCAGTGTTCCGTAGAGTCGTGGTATCACTCCATTCATGCCAACGCATGGCGCGAAATAAAACGATGTGGTTGTTTCACGCCGGTTTTCTGTGAGGCCGTGGTATCACTACATTCATGCCAACGCATGGCTCTCCCACCATGTGTATTATATTCGAAACAATATTTCTATGGAACAAGAAATACTTGAACCACCGTGAACTATGGAATAGTTTAAGTAATCATTAAATGTCTCTGAGTATGACAGCTGTATATAATATCTGTAAATAATCGTAGAACCAATATGTGTAAGTAATTGAAAAAAAAACGTGTTCGTATTTATCATAGCATCTATAGAATTGTTTTAAGATTGAAAAGGCTATCCATTGAGATTGTTATGTAGAAGGTATTTATGAGTATAATTAATTTCCCATTTGGATAAAGCATTTATTTGAAGTATTTTATTACTTGTTGCTCGAGGCATCGCTCCGGCTCTGCTATGCTCTATTTTAATCTGTCCTTCTGTAGTATGTGTGGGAGAGCCAAGCTTCGACACGAACGGGTCGGCTCGACCGGAGTGATACCACGGCCTCACAGAATACCGGCGTGAAACAACCACAGCGTTGTGTTTCGCCGTGTGAGTGAGGTTACCGGAGGCCCAATCCCGCCCCTTACCCTATCCCTTCCAATCCTTATATGCGCAACCCCTATCCCCAAAAAGCCGGCAACGCACTCGTAACTCTTTTGGTGTTGCGGGTGTCCATGTGCGGCGCCGATTGCTTTGTAGTTTTATTTTACTTTTATTTATTTATTTTTTATTTTATAAAACGTTGCCCCACATAAGGATTTTCTCCTGTGTCGTGGGTGTGGTTACAAACATACAATTTCACATAAACATGACCAGGAACAGACCCAGACTCGGAACAACAATTTGTGGATCACACAAAGAGTTGTTCTGTGCGGGAATCGATCACGCGACACGGCACGGCACTTGCACGGCAGCCAGTTGCCCAGCCACCGCGCCAACCGTGCAGTCGAAAGTCATTTTATGATTTCTCCAACAAAAAAAAAACCTTCAAAATCACTTCATTTTTCTTGTGTAAAAATCAATTCTCGTGTATCGACTACACACTATTAAACGTAGCGCGAAAAGATTAAACGCAAATTATCGATTTCTTTAATTTATAATTAATATTATAATATGAAAAATAAATGAATACTAATTAGATCACACTCGGTAAATAAATGTGAAGAATACCTCCACATTATCCGGTAAATATAATAAACAAATTTGTGCAAATAATATTTATAACGTGAATATTAAAACAATGAAAAGAGGCACGTTTAATATCAAGGACAAGTTCAAACAATACAAATCCAAATACAATATTTGATGCTGTTTGTTTCTTGTGTTTAGGGTTGTTTTCATAAAGATACATAATATGTAAAATACTTTTTTTTATGAGGGAAAAATCATCAAATGATTTGTCTTGTCCAAGGTCTGGCGGGAGAGAGTGTCAGAGTCTTACTTACTAAAAACCCCTCGTTCCTTCTCCTGCTCTGGGCCGAAGTCGCGGTGCCTCATTGCGCTTACCCCGCAACTCTGCATTAACATGAGCCCTATTGGGCCCCGTCTGTGGTGGTCTATATTGGCTCCTTGAGGCGCGCGCGGAACGTAAAGCTCCGTACGGTCTGGTTCTGGTCTGGCGACGAGCTCTCCTCATATCTAAGATTCTATTTTTATAAATGTAAGAGTAAGTAAAATGTATGAATGTATGTTTGTATGTATTTTACGCAAAAACGGCTGGTCCAATTTGCAAATAATCCCAATCCTGGATTAACGCGTAGGTTTTTTACCAACATATCACGCGGGCGAAGCCGCAGCCGGAAGTATACCTATTACTAAATCGCTGACTTGCATTACTAATTGATGTATTTTATTGATATGCGTCTGCATTAAAACTGCATTTATCTATGTCAAATATCAGCAATAATTAATCCAAACTAATATTATAAATGCGAATGTAACTCTGTCTGTCTGTCCTTTCTTCACGCCTAAACTACGGAACCGATTTCTGTGATATTTGGTACAGACATAGTTTGGAACTCCAGAAAGGATATAGGATAGTTTTTATACCAAACATTTTCAGGTAGTCACTATTCCACGCGAACGAAGTCGCGGGCAAAAGCTAGTTGATTATAAATGCTCATCGCTTTTCCAAAATGGAGTGTAGTTTGTCAGAGTTTAGGTTCAGGGTGCTGATATAACTGTGACCTTCGGACCCGCCCCAACTTTTTAGTTTTTAGCTAAAACCCCTGCACTGCACCTAACCGGGTCAATATAGCGCTTCACTAGGGTAACAGCGAAGTTGTGAGTATAGTCCAGCTTAAGTACTTACCGTAAACTTAAAAGTGTTTTTTATGGTATAGGTCAGCACGAGCAAACGGATTACCTGATGGTAAGCAATCAGCGCCGCCCATGGATACCCGCACCGCCAAAGGAGTTTCGAGTGCATTGCCGGTTTTAGGGATAAGGGTTTTGGATATTTAAGGGTTAGGAAGGGATGGGGGGGAGCGAGAGGTATTGGGCTTCCGGTAAACTCACTCACACGGCGAAACACAACGCTGTGGTTGTTTCACGTCGGTATTCTGTGAGGCCGTGGTATCACTCCAGTCGAGCCGAAGCTTGGCTCCCCCACAATTAAAGTGTGTGGTGTGAAGTTTGTTTTAATCAAACTTCTGTGTCATCAAACTTCTGTGTAACTCGAAGTGTGGTTTTTAAAAAGTGCCCTACCTATACCGATACTCATTCTAATAGTATCAAATAATGCAGTTTCTTATTACTTACTATAGGTACTAGCTTTTTGTTTAATTTTTATTTATTTGAAACTTCACGAACAACCAAAATTGTGGGTAGGTATATATCAGGCGGACTTAATACAATGAGCATTTTCTTCCAGTCTCCCTTTGGGTAGCTTTTTTGTTAAGGGAAAATCATCAAATTAATTCTCTCGCCGTGAGTGAAGAGTGCGTTCTGCACGCGCTTCAAAGAGCCAATAGACCACCACAGACGGGGCCCTATAGAGCTGATGATGGGCGCAATTTGGCACTGCGGCCTCAACTTAAACCAGGAGACGGAACTGGGGGGTTTATATTCTGGAAGAGTCTGACACTCTTTCTCGCCTTACCCTGGGCGGACATTTGAAGATTTTCCCCTGACAAAACAATACTTAAATAAAACAAACATGTTGATGAAATGGTACGGAACTTTCACAATTTTGAATTTGTAATTTTACATAAACGTGACTTGTAATTAGCATGTTTTTTTAATTATTTGCTCATAAAATACGTAGGTAGGTGCTGTAACTAATGAAGTAACAAAAGCAAGGTAAACAAGGAAAACATTGTTAAAAAAAGTTTTAACATCCGAAATCCCTGCTGAACAAACATTGTGTGATACGCTTTGTCAATCGAAATTTTCATGTATTGTACTAAATCAACATATTATAATACATATTCAGTTAAATATGTTCGTCTGTATGCGTAGACAACATTTATTTTATACTTATGCGATTAAAAATTGAGTCTAGAAATAAAAATAAAATCACATTACATTACAAATAATTGATAGTTTCTTTAGGCACAAATTCAATTATTTTGACCTTTTATTGCAATAAAATTTGAACATTATTCTTGTCACACTTTCATTTATTGATATAGGTACCAACATACTTGACTATTAAACCACTTCTCTCGCCTAGGGTGAAGCAAAAGGAAGTGTCAGACTCTTACTGACTAAAAACCTCCACGTTCCTCCTCCTGCTACAGTCCGGAACCACGGTGATTTTATCGCGCTTGCAACCCTGGATATTATAAAAGTCTCAGAGTGTACCACATACATATAAACATATTATATCGTCTCATCATTCTTCGTTTAAATTTAGAATAATAAAAAAAAACATTTATTATTTAATAACATTGACGACGTATATCGTCTCATAATTCTAATAATAAAAAAAACAGTTATTATTTAATAACATTGACGAAAAACCTGCTTTGATGGAATGTAATGGAAAAGTTACTTCATAAACAGATAAAAAAACAAAACTAATAAAAATGGTCACCAAATCACTTTGAAGACGATTTAAAATAAAATTTATATACAAATAAAATAATATCTACGTATATTATAAATATTTATAAGTCTATCTATTTGTTTGTGTTCTGTTATTAGCCCTGCTTTTTTTTTTAACGGAAAGCACGGGTTGCGTTTGCTTTGGGATATCTAGACTTATAATTTGAAATTATAAAATTGAAATTGATATTACTTTTAAAAATAATACTTACCTATTAATTATTATGATTAAATGAAAAACCTAAAAAAACCTATCATAACTTCAAATAAGAAAAAACTCATATAAAAATTACCGATGCATTTTCAAAAAAGTCATAAAATCTATCTATTTCTAGTGAGTTATGCAATTTTTTTAATCGGAGAAAAATATACAAATAAAATAAAAAATAATTGCTAGGCAAAACTGCGAGTATTACTAAGTTCAAAACATTTTTTAATATTACAAAGGTAATATGCAACAAATATGTTTCTTGTTTGCGTTGACATAGTATGTATATGTATGTATATCTGTCGCAGCTTTATGTATAGCAGTTTAAGATATATAGGCGCTATCATATCTCCGGCCAGTACCTCAGGAGCGCTCATCGATCGCTCAAGTGACCATTGATACCATATATAATAATTACCGTGAGTACAAACATTTTTTACGAACTTTTTTTAAGGAAAAAAAAATAGTGCTTAAATTTTTTTTCAACATTTTTGTAAAAAAATCAATGAGTGATTTTTTTTTTGAATTATATAAATACTTTGTTTTAAGTTTTATTACTTTTGGTTCCCGTGTGTATTTTTTTTAATATAAACTTTTTAGAGACAAAAAGTTTGTGTGTTAGATTTAATAGGCATTTTTTTTCTAGAAAAGTCTAAAAATATTTCAACGGTTTTAATAAAAATATAAATGTTTTAAGATAAAAAAAGGCGAAGTCTTTATCGAATTCTAATAATAATGCGAATTATTATGATTGTTGATAACAGCATTACAAATTGAATGAAAAAATAATAGTTGCTAAAGGTCAAGTATATTAGTTGTTACTGATATGCTTTTTTCTGAATCTATCTAATCTAGCGAAGAGACACTTGTTAGATGTTATAAAAAAATCATAAATAGTTGAAATAGTTACAAAAAACTTGACAAATTTATAAGAAGTCTTTAAAAAGCGCATATTTTTAATTTTAAATAGCCTTAATCCTAAATACTACTATTTGACATTTCTTACAATGTATATTTTTCCATTTTTCGTTTTAACACACAAATATAATAGGGCTACATAAAATTAGGATTTTGGCCAAAAAGGATACTGACATATTGTCTGAAAACTGTTTTTCTTCAGATTAATTAGAATTATACCTATAGTTATTTATTTGATAATTTGAGAAATTTTATATGTTAGGTAACGAAGAGGTTAGACTATTCCAGTGTCAGGTTTCAGTGTCCAGGTGATTTATTAAAAAAGGTCATTATTAAAGCACCACATCTTCAGGTTTTTTTCATCGGATACCTACTTATTTAGGTAAACTGAATATCAAAGAATTTGAAAATTAGGGTTGAGAAGGGCCAAAGGATTGGTCTCTGTTAACCTCATTAACAGCGAATTAATATAACGTAAGCGTTGTTTCACGCTGGTATTCTGTGAGGCCGTGGTATCACTCCGGACGAATCGACCTGTTCGTGCCGAAGTAACTCTCCCACATATTGGAGACGCGAGACGATATGTATGTGTGTATATAAAAATGATTTACTTAATCATTTAAACTAATAGTGCAATAGTAACACAGCTTATTTATTTATTTTTATATTTTTTATTATACACAACATTAAAAATTTTAACACAAAGAGCAGGCTTACAACCACAGAATGTACAATGGGCCGTCTTATCACTCACGGTGATTTCTTCCAGACAACCTTTAAAAAAAACATGCTTTATTATAGGTACAATAAACATGGAATATAATCCTATATGAATACAAACATTAATAAATAACATTGATAACGGTTCAAAACCTCAATTTACTCTTCAAAACAATATGTACTTACCTAATAAGTAATTGTTTAATTTGTAAATACGGTAACGCAAATATCATTGGTACATATGTACTTACCTATATGGATGCGTATATTCCGATAATTGTTTACATAAACTGGTGAATTTTTTTTGATAATAAGTTGGTAGTATTTGTTTTTTTTTTTATTGACGTTTTGCAATATTTTTTTTTGCATAATATTAGCGTATTATCATTATTGTGGTACAGGCCTCCTTGGTACCAGGTGATCTATTTTTAACCGACTTAAAATAAGGAGGAGGTTCTCAATTCGATCGTATTTTTTTTAATTTAATTTTTATGTTTTGTTAATGAAAGACTCTGTCGTAAGATTCTAAGTATTTCGAAAATCAAAACTATTTGCGAATAAGAACTTTTAATAATACGTTATTAATTAGGAATAACGTTATAATAATGAGATAAATAATGACATTGTATTGTAGACCACAATTCCGATGCTTGTAGACTAAATTATGAAAAGGAATTTATGAACCTGTTTACAATTAATAGATTTTATAACGATTCACTTGACTTAGCTAAATAAAAAATAAAAAATAAATAATATATACATAGTAACTATTTACCGTAACAAAACAATTTAATAAAAATATGGTAAATTAACTAAATACTATGTATACATATACATCATTAAACGCCTACTTCCTCTCTACTAATTATCAGCTTGCTGTGCCCATCTCTCTTGCTCGTTCTTCTCCATTCGAATCTACAATTTGGAACGAGCACCTAGCTTCACTGACTGAATAAATCTATAATATCTTCTATAGGTACTAATATTATAAATGCGAAAGTAACTCTGTCTGTCTGTCTGTCTTTTCTTCACGCCTAAGCTACTGAACCTGTGAAATTTGGTACAGACATAGTTTGGAACTTGAGAAAGGAAATAGGACAGTTTTGTACCAAAATCTGAATGAAGTCACTATTCCATGCGAACGGAGTCCCGGCAGGACTATCACACGAAAATTAATATAAAAAAATCCATGTAAGTATTTTTAGTAAACTGTATATAAATAAATACTTTTTTAACTAATTTCATGCGTGAACGCAAAACAATTACTACAATATCAAAATGATGAATGTAACGTTTGTCGATTGACAATTAATTCCCTTAATTACTTGTTAATTACCGACACAATTTCAATTAAAGATAACTGCAGTTTACTCTTAACTTTGCAGTCGTTATGTGCAGTTTTAATTGTTCGTGAAATATTCATTAAGTACTTTTTTATTGAGACAAGTTTTTATAATACAGTAAAATAAGGCCAAATCACTATTACTATAGATATAGTATAAAAACAAAATTGCTTTCTCTGTCTCAATATAGGTACCTATGTACGCTTAAATCTTTAATACGACGCAACGGATTTTGATGCGATTTTTAAATAGACAGAGCGATTGAAGATAAAGCTTTATATGTTTATACTTATAATTACATCCATTAAATAGTGGTGAAATTTAGTATCTGCATTGCACCATGTACACGTTAGGGCATGCAATAACAGCCGGGGTTGCGGGGTAAGCGCAATGAGGCACCGTGACCCGAGGTCCAGAGCAGGAGAAGGAACAGGGGGGTTTTTAGTCAGTAAGAGTCTGACACTCTCTACCGAAAAAAGGGCATGCAATAAAGTATTCTAGATACTCAGCTAGGTTACACAAAGCCTATAAAATAATTTTAATAACCTGAATAAATACCGCAGATATCACAGCTACCCTCGAACATGGGCCACTTAACTTCCTTCCTGACAACGCTCTGGTTGACCACGGCGGCTGCACAGCTCGGCTTCATCAAGGACTTCACCAAGGACGTGACTAAAGGAGCACAGAATGAGGTGCAGGCCATAGCGGATCCCCTGGGCAAGACCATCGCCTTCGTCGGGTCTAGCCAATGTAAGTATCGAAATCCTTCACATGTTAATAATAATGTGGTCTTGGCCCGGAGCGACCCGGAGTTAAGGCACACGCTTCTCATGCATGAGGTGCTGGTTCAAAACTTGGCAAGTACCAATGTGATATTTTCCGAGATATGTACATACTTTCTATAATTATTTAGACACCACTTACATACGGTGAAGGAAAACATCGTGAGGAAACATGCTCTTATAATTCGTAATTATAAGTTCAAAATCACCATCATCCGCCTTCAGCGAGCGTGGTGATTCATGTTCAAACTTTCTCCATGTGAGAAGAAGCCTTTGCTTTGCAGTACGCCCTTAGGCTGTTGATTGGTGATTCTCTCTAAACTGGGTACTTATAAAACAAATGGTAAAAAGTGTGTTTTTTACTATAAGTGTGGTCCCATAATACCAAATGGGGGTACCCAGGATTGAGTCTGCAATTGGCGGTTATATAAACGATTGTAACAGCATGATCTTGAGAGGGACTAATGGCGGGATACCGTTAGTCGCATTCTGGAGGCCTCCTCCTCCTTTCCCACTTCATAATAATCCTGACGACTCTGTTAAGAGTGAAGTGGTAAAGAAGATGAATAAAGGTTGCGCACCCCAAACAGTTACTAAAATTGACAAATATTCCCAGGTTCGAATGTGAAGAAGTTGATCGGAGTGACGTACGAAAACTACGTGGAGTCCGAACCAGATCTCAGCAAGCTCACTCTAGTTTTTATCACTAGGTAAGATATTGCATTTTTTTTACTAGAGATAGGTTAAAAGTGACCACAAGCACACATGTGTGCTTCTTCTACAAAAAAAGCCGGTTGGACTTGGCGCCCGCTTGCGAAACGCAATTTTGGCAGTTGGCAGCTTAAAAGAAATAAGGTTTTCAAGCAAACGTTGACTAGAGGCAAATATTTTTTAAATAGTGTTCGTTAAAAACAAGGAACTGTGCATTCAGATACCGTAAGTGTCCGAAACTATGACTTACCAATCTTTCTTTCTAGAGCTAAAACAGTCACCTACAACTTAACCCTAGCTCCTGAAGAGATCCCCCTGGAGCGCTGGTTCAACCCTGAGCTACCGTTCAGGATCTTCCTGCACGGCTTCACAGACGACCCATCCAAGTCCAGCTACAAGACCATCAGCGAAGCCTTCCTTGAGCAGAGTAAGTTTTGACCTCACCATGACTGACTGGCCTATGTTAATGTGTTGCAAGAAAATAAAAGTTTATTATCAATTTCCATAAATATTTTACCAAAGTATTAGAAAAAAATAATCAATCGAAGATTCCTCCGATCAGAAACATGATATTATATCTGTTTTTTTAAATAAAAAAACTTTCCCACGTCTCTCTCTCTTCTAATGGATAAGAGTCTCGTTATGACCTGTTAATTCACTTAGGATGTCTATAAAAAGTCATTAAAATCCATGGCGAAGTTTTAAAGGTTCAAGTGTATATTGGGATATAGGGAAACAGAAAGCGACTTTGTTTTTACTAACTAGTGATACTAATCATTGCAGGTGATGTGAACATCTTGGCTCTGGACGCCAGTTCCTTGATCCACTGGTTCTACCTGCGGTCGACCGTCATGGTGCGGTTCATAGGAGAGAGGCTCGGCTCTATTCTGGCTGCGTTAGTACCTGGTGAGTTTCTTAGCATTTTGAGAATTCTAATTATATTCCTCATATTAAATTCCGTCAGCAATTCGGATCTTTATGATAAGTTTCTTAGAATTGTGAGAAAGTGCGTTAGAGCTATGCTTCGGCATGAATTGGCTGGCTCGACCGGAGTGATACCACGGTCTCACAGAAACACGGTGTGAACTAACACTTACTTTGTGCCATGTGAGTAAGGTTACCAGAGGCCCAATCTCTCACTCTTCCTCCATCCTCAATCCTCATATCCCCTATCCTTAAATCCCTAATAACCTATATGTCCATGGGCGGCTCTGATTGCTTACCATCAGGTAATCCTATGACATAAAAAATGCCGGAGAATTAAACTACGGGACGAATATGCCAAAGGGTGCTTATATGCTTAGTAGTGTCTATAAATCCTATTGCACGTTGTCTCTGCACTTATAAAGAAAGAATTTTATACACGACTTTAATGGTATAAAAGTAGACTATTACAAAATGATCGATTGTATTAAGTAAACACCGACTACGTATTAACTTAACAACAAAAATAACTGTCGGATGAGATATTGTAATGACTTGTAATACGTATTTACCTGGTACATAATTATTTCAAGCACGCAACCCAAGCACGTGGGATCAAATGGCGTTTGTGTATTAAACGTTATATTATGTATACCTATCTTAAATATGTATATAAAAGGAGAAACTGACTACTGACTGACTGAGAAACACATCGTAAATGTAGGCATTTGAAATTTGGAAGGAACGTAGCTTAGGTACCGTAGAGGTCCACTAAGAAAGGAACTCCCGAAATACCCACAGGAACGGGAATTAGCGGGAAAATCCTTTTGTTTGAAAAATCTAAACCACTTAAATTAGACGCTTGAAATTTGGCATGCAGGTACCTTAGGAAACTTAAACTTTAGTTGCAACAAGATATTGCAGTGTTCCCCAGGGAATGGAACATTTAAAAAAAAAAATGCCGAGATTAATTACTTATATTTGCGTGTGGAGCTGCGGGCGGAAGCTAGTGTTAATAAACCTACTTGTAGATAGATAGGTACATATGTATAATAAGTATATCTGTCATGGCGTCATGCACAGTGAAGATATAATTAGCCATTCCAAGCAAGTCTGCCGGGGTATTGTTATTACTTCTATTAAATACCTCTGAGAGGTAAAACATGAGAGGAACTTGAAACAATAAATTTTACCTAAGTATATGTTACATATTAATATATTTGTTGCTGTAAATATAAATGTGAGCACACGGTTGACGCAGTGGCCGGCTAATCGGCTTCTGTGCAATGTGTCGGGGATTCGATTCCCACACAGAATAATACTGTGTAATCCACAAATTATTGTTTCGGGTCTGGGTAGTGTGTATGTGAAATCGTATGTTTTTGAACTTAGTGTGGGACAAAGTATTTATTTATAAGATAGGTCAGCAAACGAACTGACGGATAACCTGATGGAAAGCAATCTTATCTTAAGCAAGATATTTAAGGATTCGGAAGGGATCGGGGAGGAAGAGGGATTAAGCCTCCCATAACCTCTCTCACACGGCTAAACACAACTTTTCATTTGCCAAAATTAGTTTATGTCAAGATTCAACAAATTAAACCTCATCATCAATTTTTTTTCAGCTGGTCTGGACTCCTCAAAGATCCACCTGATAGGCCACAGTCTGGGCAGCCACATCGCAGGGTTTACCGCCAAGACGTTTTACAACCAGACCGGGTACCGTGTTGCCAGAATATCGTCTCTCGACCCAGCTGGACCCTGCTTCTCCAATCTGGAAATAGCCCTGAGGCTGTCCAAGGAAGATGCAGACTTTGTGGACGTCATACATACTGATGCTGGAGTGTATGGTCTTAATGAGCAGATTGGTGAGTTAAAAATGCATTCTTTGAGTCTCAACCAGAGGTTAGGTGTAGCTGTCGTCTTCAAAAGACCTATACTGTTAAGAAGACTTAGTAATCAGATTTTTTTTGATGAGGGTCCGGTTGCCCTGGTTTGAGAAATGGAGTTTTAGGTTCTTACTAACTTAAAATCGATCCGTTCGTTTTCCTGCAGCCCCGACTGAATTGGAAATCTGAACCACACCAAATAATAAACACTAGAATTCGGTAATGTTATTTTACTCGTAGTAGTAGATAAGCCGGTGTGTATTTTTTATCGTTCACAATAAATTGCAATTTTGGCAATTTTCATGAGACATTTTTGTTTCCTTGGATTTTTTGTTCAGTCATAATCTTTTCATCTTCAGGGCACGTGGATTTCTATCCGAACAGTGGTTCAGAGCAGCCGAACTGTCTGTTCCAAACGTGCAGTCACAGTCGAGCGTGGCTGCTGTACGCCGAGTCTGTGCTCATACCGGAGTCCTTCATTGGAGCGGAGTGCTCCAGCTGGAAGAATTTCATGAAAGGAAGCTGTGATTTTAATAATACCAGGTAACTATCCCTTTTCTCAACATCATCAAAAGCCTTTGATTCCTCTACTGGCTTGTAGGCCTCCTCCATAAAAGAGGGGTTTGCCATCTTTGCCAATCTCCATAATTAGCTATCAGGTTGGTGATGGTGGTCCGGAAATTGCTTGTGCAGACTGCGGACCTTGGTAAATACCAATGTGTCTTTGTGGAAAGAAGAAAGAAAGACACAATACGTAAGGTAATGGAAAAAGTAAGATAGAAAAGCCAATTTGCCTTTAGACTTTTGAGCAAGTCAGGTGATCAAACTTCTCTTGTGAGAAGAGTTCTTTGTTCAATAGAGGATACCTATAGACTGATGATGTAAAGGAAATCAAGCTTAGAGAGAATGCTTCAGCTTGTAATCTGTAAAAAATCTAGTCCCATCTTAAGTCACCTGCAGAAAGAGATGGAAAACGTGATCCTGCCCAGACAGATCCTCCCAAAACCATACTAATACTTCTTCTCTCTCCAGCGTTATGGGTTACTACTGCCCCACGGACTCCCGAGGGAAGTACTACCTCCAGACCAAGGATGAGCCTCCCTACGGTCTCCGAGTAGCTGGCCTCACCTATGTCAACAACGCCGGCATCGTCAGGAACATCAAATACCTAGTCACCGGCAAATAATCTAGCTTTAAGAAACTTTTCATGACTGATTTTATGCACTAGACATCTTTTAAATGAATTTGCACTCTGTTTCAAGAGTTGTATAGTTGTTAATTGCAGAAAACAGGTCACATTTTTGTAGGTAGATGCGTTATTTTTTAGGGATTTGTGATTTTATTGACCAAAGTCAAAACTGCGTGACGCATAAGTTAAGCGATATAGTTGATTCGACCAGTTTTTAAGTTCAATCAAAGTGAAATTCAATTTTAATATTGTGTTGATAGTCCATTCTAGTATTCCAATATGTATATTAATATTTCATAACCATGCTTTTTCGTAGATAGATATTTCATTTATTCCATTATATTGTAAGTAGGTAAAATATAATAATGTATTCTTTTGATTATGAAATCAAATACATAATTAGACGTAATTTTATGTGTGAAAATGTGTGTGTCAATTCTGCATATGTAAGTGTAGGTTAAGAAAAACATTAATGGGGAATCAACATAAATAAAAATATAACTACAAGCCTGGAGCAAGAGAAAGAACAGGGGGTATTTTGTCAGCAAGAGTCTGACACTACCTCTCCTCTTACCCTGGGTAAGATAAGTCATTTGATGGTTTTCACCTGACATAAAATCCCAATGATAGGCCCAATAAAGCCCAATGATAATGAAAAATATTGGAATTTCAACTTTGATACTGAGATTTTGTGGTATATTTTTGTCCATCGTCAATTCGCAAATAAGCTTTTTAATGATAGAGTCCATCCAATGTAAACTTTTATGACTATTTGTTTTGTAAATGTAGCCTTTACCAAATATAACTTATACCTACATAAGTTGTGTAATTCACTCACATGCTGTTATTGTGATGTTTTAACAATAATAATAAATAATTGTTACAAAATAATTTTGTTTATTTAAACTTGCCTAATTTGACGTATAACTGTGGGAGTATGGGAGGGCCATGCTTCGGCACGAATGGGTCGGCTCGACCGGAGTCATACCTAACATTAACTCATAGAAAACCCAGGTGAAATAACTACAACTGCAGTTGAGTTTCGCCGTTTGACAACGTTTCTGAAAGGCTTGTCAACGCTAAAATTAACTAATCTCCTGTTAGTCATCTAATTGGTTGTTGATAATTCAGTCAACCAATCAGATGACGTGACAAGAGATTAAATTTATTTTAACATTGATCGGCCTTTCGGAAACCGGGTGTGAGTGAGGTTATATTCCCCAATCCTTAAAATTCCGAAATCCTGATCCCCAAAAGGCTGGCCACGCAATTGTACTCTTGTGTTACAAATGTCTCCATGGAACAGCGCCGATTGCTTACCATCAGGTAATCTGTGGGAACGTTGCTCTCTATAACATTATAAAGGTTACCAAGTACCAACAGGAACGTTGGGTTCTGTATATGTTTTGAAGAATCGAAGGAAAGTAGAAGTTCATCTTATTTCAGTTCTGGGTATTCTGATCTGACCTTGGATCGTGGACTTATGATTTTAGTCGCGGTATGTTTAGGTACACACTATTCTTCATAAAAAGTCTTCTTAGGACAAACAGTTATGTATCAAGTAGTGCTGTAGCTCACGAAAAAGAATACGTAAGTAAGAAAAAACTAAATATCTGTGATTAACTTATTTATTATTCCTTATTTTAATATACATCTCAAAATTCTTGGGCAAGATTCTGACGGCACTACGGCAACAAACTTACCTACTTAATAAAATATAATGAAATTATACATACCTAAATTATACACCCGCTTGTTAAATGCATTACACATTATTGTCTACCTAATATACTTACCTAAGTTAATATAATATAATAATCTATATTATTATATTACTCTTAACAAAACACGTGTAAAGTAACTAATCAATATTGAAACTCTTTCTCATTTAACCGATCTACGAATTTCTTTTTAAAATCCACTAGGTACAATAATATCACATCACATAACAAATATGTATATTCGTAAGGCAAGCACCAACTCTTCATAGTAATCACATGTCCAATAACCGCTCCACTAAAGCAAATCTCACAAATACAGTCAGTTGTACCTTATTTTATAAGTAGGCCCGAGCGTACGGCGCGTAGCGTTCCACGCGCGCCTCAAAGAGCCAATAGACAACCACAGACGGAGCCCTATAGGGCTGATGTTCAGCCGGGGTTGTGGGGTAAGCGTAATGAGGCACCGCGACCTCGGCCCAGAGCAAGAGAAGGAACAGGGGGGTTTTTAGTCAGTAAGAGTCTGACACTCCCTCCCGCCCGGCCCTGGGCGGGAAAAGTAATTTGATGATTTTCCCCTCCACAAAAAAAAATACTATATATGTATCAGACAACATTTGGACTGGGCCTAATGATCCCAAACCCCGTCACTGCCTATGACTGGGACGCTGTATCAGAGTTTTTTGTGAATATCGAAAACACGTCCATGAAGAATCGCAAGACACCTTCGCTCTTGACAGACCTGGTGCCATCGTTGCCGAGTCCGTAAGGAGGCGCGTCCGCTGTACTCAGGTAGTAGGTCCCTCGCGTCCCTGGACGGCTGGGTAGACCCATTGGGCTGAGGAGAAAAAGAAATAAAGCTGAAGTTTGGGAGAATTCTTGTCGGTATAAATGCTTTACGTTCAATGGCGTAACAATTTTAGAATGTTACAATATTGAATAGTAAAGATCGTAAGACATACTAAATTAAAAAAAAAACGAGTTGTGAATGACTTACACTCTGAGAAAAGCTATACTTACTAGTTTTAAGTCACAACGGGACTCTTATTTATGAGCATGGTGCGTGACCTGACGAGGACTCAGTTAATTCCTAGAGTCAGTCGTTATTCATTTCAATATATGTTAAAGTTTAACCAATATTCTATTTCAAGAAATCTTCGTCTAAAACATCACGCACCAAACAACAGAAGTTATCAACAACCTCACCTCAAATTACTATAGTTACACCGTTGATTTTGAAAATCGTCCCAGTTTGGACAGGCGACTGCGATGAAGGCGTCTGGGTTGGTTACAGACTCCGCAAAGAGCAGCCAGGCACGGCTGTGGCTGCAGGAGTCCAGGATGTGCGTCGGAGGGCAGTTCGGCTGCTTGGAACCGCCGTTCGGGAAATAGTCTACGTGACCTGGTAAATATTTATCATGTATTTTTTTTTATATTTGACAATTTCAAATTTAACTGCACGGTTGGCGCAGTAGCTGGGTAACTGGCTACTGTGCAAGGTATCGCGGGTTTGATTCCCACACGAAACGTGTGATTGTTTACGTCGGGTCTGGTTGGCCACGACACAGGAGAAAATCCTAGAGAGGGGCAAGGATTTCTAAAAACATAACCACTGCGTTCAAAACCTCTATAGGTATGTAAATTCCCAACAACCCTCAAGATTCCAACAATGCACTCGAAGTTACTCTTTTGGTACTTATTGCGAGTGTTCCCGGCGCTGATTGCTTACCATTACGATATCCGTCTGCTCGTTTGTTTGACGACCTTTTACATAAAGAAAGAATTTTAACTCTTTTCCTTTTGCTACTTAATTAAAAGGAAGAATAAAGCTGTTAAAAAGGTGACAATGCCAGGTTGAAAGTCAGTATGTTACAGAAGGACAGGGTTAATTATTCCCCATCGCGACTTTTCAGTATATTTATACGAGTTGTTTGACAGGTAGCAGGAATTTTTATCAAATACTTTCATATGCTGAATATAAGAACCAAAACTAACTTACCTACTGCCTCAGCAATCCCATACACTCCAGCATCAGTGTGTATGACGTCAACGAACCGAGCGTCTTTCCTGTTGAGCCTCGACGACACGTCCACGCCAGAGAAGCACGGCCCAGCCGGGTCTAACCCGGTTATCCGGCCGACTCGATGTTTCGTGAGTGTCTTAAACGTCTTGCCCGCGAACCCGGATATATGGCTCCCAAGACTGTGCCCGATTAAATGGATGTTGGAGCGATTGAGTCCCGCTGGAAAATAATAATTTAAAAAAGTTACGAAAGGTGTTTTATTTTTAATAAAAGATGAAGGTGATGATGACGATTGATTAGCAAACCATTTGTTTCTAGGATGACTGAGTAAGTGCGATGAAAATTCTATGAATTATGGCTATGTTTCTCTAGGATACCTAGAGTGAGGTAAGCCATATTTTTTATGTCATACGAGCCTAGTGATTATCTGTTGGTAAGTCAACGGTGCCGCTCATGGACACTGTGTTTGTTTCAGGTTTAAATGTGAGGTCGTGGTATCACTTCGGTCGAGCCGGCCCATTCGTGCCGAAGCATGGTTTTCCCACACTCAGCTTGCTCCGTATGCTCATCTGCTTCTATTCACCTTTAACGAGTGAAGCCAGTAGTTTCCCGAGCTGTTCCCCTATGAACTGCACCATGGTGGTGGCGCGCAGGTACTGCCAGCTCAGCAGGGAGCTCGCGTCCAGCGCTAGGATATTCACGTCACCTGCAATTAACATAGCTATTCTTATTACAAACATTCATAACATTTTGTGGTAGCTTGGTAACTTCATTGAAAGTCCATACCTAAAATAAAGTCTTATTAATAATGTAAGTACCTACCATTTATTAATAACTCAAGAACGATTGAACCGATTTCGTTGAGAATTGGTGGGGATGTAGATGTAGATTTAGAACCAGAAGATGAAAATAGGATAAGATAGGGTAGAAGTAGATACGGTAGGGAAAATAAAGTAGGTAGGGAACGATGTAGAGTAGTGAAGGTAGTCGAATGATGGGAGCGAAGCCGCAGGTAAAAGCTAGTCATTTAATAATAAAGCAAACAATTAATTTCTCGTGCTGTTCAATATTTTTTGGTCATAAGAATCTGGATAATCAACCTTACGGCTCAAACCATATGTCACAAATTATAATATCCATCGTTAAATGACCATTTTCCGTTATTACCTGCCTTCAGGAACGCTTTACTGAGCATGGTGAAGCTGTCCTGTGATGGGTCGTCAATGAAGCCGTGGAGGTAGATCTTCAATGGCTTGCTGGGGTCAAACCACTCCGACTGCGGGATGAGGCGCGCCGCATCTCTCAACTTGTACGTAATGTCCACTGTTCTGGAAACATTGTGGATAAACTGGATTATAACTTCTGTCATTACACGTTAAGTGTGAAGAGCCATGCTTCGGCACGAATGTGTCGGCTCGACCGGAGTTATACCGTGGCCTCCGAGAAAACCAACGTAAAAAAATACAGCGTTGTGTTTCGCCGTATAAGAGTTAGTACCTACTTCCGAACCCTAATCCCCAAAAGGCAGGCAACGTACTTGCAAGTCCTCTGGTGTCCATAAGCGGCGATTGCTACAGAGAAAAATTGTGGGAACACTGTATAAAATAATAAAACAAAACGTTTTTCTCATCATGTCATCATGTCTTAGGGAAAACCTCTATTGCCAGACATTAAAACTGATACAAAACTTACTTTACAACTTTACGCAAACCAGGAATATAACCGAGCTTACCCAAACAAAAAATCCAGTTGTGCAAGGCTAGGATAAAAATATAAACTTACAAGGATCTGTAAATATGCATATTTTCAACTATGTTTTCAACACACTTCACAGAAAGTGGCTCTTATTCCATGACAATTAGGCATATAATGAAACCTATAGGTAAACAAATTGTGACTTTTCTATTACTATTATTCACTTGTTTTTTTTTTAATAATTGTATCAACAGCTTATATTTGCATTTAAATGCTATCCGCGAAATGCCGAATGAAAAAGAAACCTCAAGAAAAGTTTATGGCTGATGCGCGTGCATAGGATTCTTTTTTCCCACCACTACGAAAAATTTTTCACAACTCGTCTCGTTTCTCTTTTGATGGTTTTTTATTATAGCTTAAATTTAAATGGCGGTTATCACCAATGTACTATTATTAAGTGTAACTTATTTATATAATCAGACAGGTGCTTCAAGTCTACGAGAACTCACCTGGTAATGAAGAGCAAACTCAGTCCGTTCAGGTCCGGCTCCATTCTATTAAAGGTGTCATAGTCCACTCCCAACAGCTTCTTCACTTCACTACCTGAGAACAGGGTGATGTGTGTGTGTGTTAGGGTAAGAGTGTGTACGCTCAGCTAAATAAAAATGGCGTGGATTTAACTCTCATTTCTATAACACATTGTATTTATGGAAGAATACACATAAACAAACAAAATTCGCGAAAAAAAATGCTTGATTTAGCGATCAAGGTCAGAATCTATGGTCAGGTCAGAATATTTTCATTTAATTTCGCTGTGTGAGTGGGATTACCGGAGGTCCAATCCTTCCTTTCCCCAATTCCTAAATCTCCAAAATCCTAATCTTCAAATGATCAACAACGCACTCGCTACTCCTCAACTCCTCCGTTGTAGCGAGTGTCCATGGGCGTCGCTGATTGCTTACCATCAGGTAATCCGTCAGCTCGTTTGCCGCCTCATCATCGTCAGCCTATAAGTGCCCACTGCTGAGCAAAGGCCTCTTCTCACACAGAGAAGGTTAGAGCATTAATCACCACACTTGCTCAATGCGGGTTGGCGATTTGCTCAATGCGGGTAGGCGATTTGCGTTTGCCGCCTATCACATAAAAAAATTTACTCACACTGGCTAAAGCCTATAGCAAACAGAGCCTTTTCTATAGGTTCTGCGATAGTGGCGATGTCGTTCGTGATGCTTTTCTTCAGTTTACCGAGCAGTGGTTCTGGTGTGACGGAGGTAGTCACTGTTACCGTCGCACTATTCGCGACGGACATCCACATTGCCGCCACCAGGAGGAGACGTGACATTGTCATTTACACCTGGAAGAGAAAATGAAGAATACCTAGGTATTAAGCTTTTTTGGGACAAGCTCGCCGCAACCTCCTACAACTGTACAACTCCTGTAAGCCAGGATCTACAGTAGATACAACCATGATAACTCACTCACACTGAAGTCCGTCACGTCCCAGGGATATGAATGACTGTCTTGGATCTCGCAACGGAATAAATCAGAAGATATTATTTGAGTAGAAGAAAAAAAATCTATTAAGGTATACCACCACGTAAAGCTACTTCCATCTGTTAATCTGTTTTTGATTTTTGTCACTACTGCAGTAAGTATAAAACAAAGTCATTTTCTCTGTCCTGTCATTTCCTATATCCCTGTATATGCTTAATACTTTAAAACTACGCAACGGATTTTGACGCTGTTTTTTTTTTTTTTGAAAGTGTGATTAAATTATGAAGTTGTCTAGTTTTATTATGTTTAAAAACATTCATTAAATACAGGAGAACTTTAGTATTAGCACTACACCTATGCGAAGCCAGGGTGGGTCGTTAGTTACAAATAAACAAAGTAAGAATATATTTTTATTATAATAAGAATATATTTTAATAAGAATATATATTTATTAATATATTATTAAATAATAATTATTGAATAATATATTTTATTTATAAATATATTATTGAATAGTATATTTTAATGAGAATAAATTTTTATTATAAAACTGACATGTTTTAGGAAGGACGAAGAACAGGTTGACGAGGTGGTATGTGTTTACTAAACGCTTTAAGGGTCACTGGTCTAAATTTGGGTGAAACCGAAAAACCCAACATTAATTTAGCCAACCCATAAATGAGGTTCACGACCCGTTATTTGGCGGTCGCACTTTTAAACACCGGATAAAAACGAAACTCAAAAATCAAAAAGAAACAATAAACTTCCAAATATTTTACTGCTAATTGCGCAAACTGAATATTTAGGCTAACTGATTTCTTTAATATTTCAATGATTCTCTAACCGCCGCCTGCATAAAGTAATGTTACGAGTACAAAGACCGCATGTACTCGAACCTACTTCAGCAGTCTTCTGGCTGATAATAAAGGCGAAAAGGAGTAAGAAAAAAAAACAGCAATCACTTGCTATTCAATCCTCAAATCTCCAATCCTGTTCCTGAGAAGTCAGTTGCTGCAGGTCCAAAAGTGATGCCGATTACTTAATAACTGGTGGTTCGTCTACTCATTTGCCGCTCTTTCCTATGACAATTTTACAACATTGGTAAAAAATTCTAAGTTTTTATAGTTGGTACTTACTGGCTTTGTGGTCTTGTTCTTATCTTGTTGGTCAAAGCAGAAAGCTTCAAATGTCTTACTTATAAAGACTCCATTAACCACAAAAACATCACAAGCCCAACTGGTCAACACACTGATCTCAGACAAACTGGAATCAAACTACCGGTGTACAAATTAATATATAAATTTTATTCTATACAAACAATGATTATTGATACACTTTTCTTTCCTGGTCCTTTAAAAGGTATTCTTTTCAGAAAATTAAAGATTCGTAGCTGTAAGGAAGAATCCTTTAACAATGAGTAGAAAAGAAATCCCATATTTTGTAGTTTGCAGGTCGATCAAAAGATTTATCAATGTTTCTACGCGCTTATTTAAATATTTATGAGTACAATTGAGATTGTCTCGCGCCACTGCAGTTTTTAAAGCATAGAAACAGAAATTAAAAGGAGGAATGGTTATTAAAACATATTATGACCTCTTTAAAGGTGTAATTTGTTTTGTGCGAATTAGTTAGGCCTCAAATGGCCTCATAGTTAATCAGTACCTAGACGAAAACTTGTTTTAAACATTTTATCATAATTTTTGTATGATATATGTATAGAAACTGGAAGAGCCGGTTCATTTTTTTTATAAACACGTCAGTTATTTTTTTAAACTCGTATTTATAACTTTTTTTGCTTATACATATATATTACTATAACTATGTAGGTAACAAATCAAATTATTTGTCATAAAACAATATTTAAGCAACTTGTTCAAAGTTAACATACAAACGTTCAACGTTCTGCAGTACTATGAGTGTGGGAAAGCCATGCTTCATCACAAATAGGCCGGCGCTACTGATATGATTCCACAGCCTCACAGAAAACAGTACTTAGTAAAACGCTTTGCATTTTGTTGCAAGATGTGAATGAAGTTACCGGAGATCATTCCGCACCTACACAGCTCGTTCCTATCCCCAATCCTCAAATAAAATGCCTGCAACGCACATGTAATTTCTTTGGTGTTGGGGGTATGTAAAGGCACCGTTGATTGCGTGATGCGTAATTCGACTTATAGGAGACAAACCTTTGTCCTATCCCTATAAAAAACTTTTTGGTAAGATTGTAAAAAAATATCAGTATTTCTATCACTCTTAAGTATATAAGGAACTACACCATCCTCTAGGTACAAAGTAATAAAAGTTGAAGCAGTTTTTATTGAAATTCACTTCCTTATTAATCTAATGCTCAATGTTCTGTGCGAATCAGGATACGTTTGAAGTGAATGTAAGGACAACCTTAATCAGATGCTATGCTTCTCAAATGATACTGTTTATTATAAACATACCTATATACCGTAGAGGGACTTATAAAAAGTCAGCAGGAACGACAATAACAAGCTAGAATAAGAGACACGTCAACAAAGAACGCTGGGTTTTATACATTTCCCAGCACGCGACCCGATACAAGACGCTACGCCAGTTTCAACTGGCGCAATTCTGTCGCAACACGACACGAGCTATCCCTGTAAGGCACAGGGATAGCTTTTGTTCTGTTTTTGCTATATTAGCAATGCATCATTATGTTAGACTAGCATTAGCTATAATACATAAAAATACTGACCTTTTTACAGCGACATTTGGGCACCCTAAAAATTCGAGCACAAAAAAACACATAAACGTATAATATGGTTATCGATACAAATAACATTCTTCTATACAAACATTTCAACTAATTAATACGTTTGCACTATACAGTAGGTACCTGTTATGAATTATTAATTGGCCATAATATTACCTATCGTTTATTTATCGTACTACCTAATTCGTTACCCCTGCTAATCTTAACCGTTTCATTAAGTTGTAATACCAGTTTCTTTACTTAGTAAACGGTAGAGAAACTTTTTATTTTTTGTTTGGTTGTTTTCAATCTATATCTATACTAATATTATAAAGAGGTAAAATTTGTAAGTTTGTATGTAGCGGGTAATCTTTGTAACCGCTGGTCGGATTGCCAAAATTCTTTCACTAATAGATAGCTACAATGTTCCTGAGTGCTATAGGCTACGATCAAATGGAGCTGAGCAGCGGGTGAAACCGCGCGAGAGCAGCTAGTAAATAATTATCTTATCAGCCAGAAAACGATCATCGCTGAACTTGGTGTCCCCCGATCTATTCCAGATCGGTACGTTAGCAGCCAGCTGCATCCGGCAACTTCATGCAATATCCATCAGATCCATTTATGAATAGAGCTTGTATTCAAACTTTTATCGATATTTTTGTCGATGAGTAATAAGGTCCAAGTACAAACCAGTAAGTACCAAAATTATAATAATTGCTTTGGGTAAAATTAATTAATTTTTAAAACCTGTTTTATTACTCGCTCTGTAGGTATCAGGTATAAGTAACGCAATGGTTGTTGGGCAAATAAATGAAAATTCAGTTATAAATCAGGGAATCGGAAATCCAAATTTTAAAAAATAATCTTATCTTTATTCTCATGTTCGACTGACTGACTCATGTTAGATTCCCACACTAAAAACGTTATGTGTTGGGGCTGGGTGAAAAAAAAATATTGCACTAATCTGATCGTAGTACGTACATCACCTTGGCATTGATAGTCTAGTGTTAGAAGTGTGACTGATAGATATTGCTCATGGCATTTAGGGTCTTTTTTTATTATCATCAGCCTACAAGTACCCACTACTGAGCAAAGGCCTCTTCTCACACGGAGAAGGTTTCAGCATTAATCACCACGCTTGCTCATTGGTTGGCGATTTTAAACTTATATTCGAAATTATAAGTCCAGGTTTCCTCACGATGTTTACCTTCACCGTATGTCAGTGGTGTCTAATTAATTTAGGGTCTAACTTAAGTGGAACATAGTCAATACAAATTACGTTCTTAACCGCCATCCTCGGACCTCACAATTGATCAAATATGAGTTATATTGAAGTTAAAGGCTTCACAAAAGGTAGAAACAAAATAAAACGTCAGAAATAAAACAAAGCATTGTTTATTTGTAATATCTAACTCTCCTCGATACCGCTTACGGAGCAGGGCCACTCGATACAAAAATAAACATCTACAATAAATATAATATAACCTGCTATCGCGACCATTGTTAGGAGACAGACAGACAAACAGGATAAAAACAAACTATTACTCAAAATAGTAGGACCGTTTACTTTAGTAAAATAGACTGAATTTTATTTAATTTGTGTGTAAAATAACCAAGGTATTTGCAGGGGTAATAAAAAATGTCTGTCCCAAAACAGCAGCTACGTGCAGAGCCATAAATTAACACAAGAAGACAAGAAACAAATATCGATAAAATAATTTGTATGAAACGCCTCGCATTATCAACATTTATTGCTCGCACTCCACTCGCAGTCAACGTAACTCAGAGGTGATAGACAAACAGAAGTTATTCAATAATTTCATTTAATCCAACATTTGACAGCATCCGACAACTAAATACAATCAAAAGTCAAATTTATAAAAAAATGATAACAAATTGTTATATTTACTTGAACTTACTACTGTATAAAGACACACAGTATGTTGTTATGCAAGTAAATATAGCAAGTCGATATCGTGTTACATAAAATCTGATTTTAAATCAGCGTTTAAAACTTAACTCTAATATAAAATAATGTTTATTTCTAGCGTGTATGAAATATATTAATATTATAGTATAGTAATAATAATAAATTGTACAATATCAGTATCATTCCAACTTATTTACCT